CCTGTGTATTTATCAATTTTGTTTTTGCTGCTGTTATTTGTTTAATTATACCAAACAGGTATGTGCGCCACCCTGTATAAATATCGGAAATAAATAGTAATAATAATAACAACAAGATATTTGTATACCGCAAATACCGTAAATAAATAAATAAAAAAGATTCAGGAATGGTAGTAGGTGAATCCAGTGGTGAGAGCAGAGTGGTTTGGTGGTTGAAAGGTCTTGACTCTCCTACCAGAGGTCCTGGGTTCGATGGTTGCTCAGTGCTTACATCCACGGACAACGACTGGTGTTTTCCTCACACTTATCCCTCTTTACCCAGGTATATTAAATGGGCACCTGGCAATGCTGGGGTAGTAATAGGGACTTTTAGATTTGCACAACGACAACGTGGATTGCTACGATCGACGTCATTTTAATGCACTGCCTTGAATAGACGTCACACGTATCAGTCCACGCAAATCTAAAAGTCCCTATTATAATAATTGCATGACGCAAAGGAGGAGCAGTAATAATACTAAGGTGCCGCCTACACTTGGCTATTACAGTAAAACCTGTGTATAAAGACCACTCAAGGGAGACAAGAAAAGTGATCTTAATACTTAAAGGCAGGTGGTCTTTATGTACACGTTAAGTACATGTTTCGACGAGAAACCACTTTAAAGGTAAACAAAAAAGTAGTCTTTGTAGACAGATGGTCTTTGTATAAAGGTGGTCACTAAAACAGGTTTGACTGTATTACCAATTTATATTTTAATTAGGGTTAAAGGTAAAGACCAGTATTGGAAACGCCCCAATTTCAAAAAAATGAAATGGAAGCTCTCATTACCAATCATGTGAAAGAGTATGTTTTGACTAATACATGATGATAAAAAATTTGCCGGGAAACCGCCTACTAATTCATATATTTGGTAAATTTGTTTCTCTCATCGTCTGTGAGAGATATAGGGTAGTCCCATATACATCTTTCTGTGTATAGTGCTTGTAACTTTACGAAGAATGGGCCAAATTTCTTATCATTTTGATGATTCCAGAACCTTGCAGATGCTAGATGCTAGATGATCAACCTGATCTGATCGATTCCACAACGTTTCTTTCACAATGCAATCGCATGACCATAACTGGTCTTTACCTTTAAGAATACAGATGGGAGCAAAACGCTATATAGTAACAATTTGAAAAAAGGAAAATAAAATAAATGCCAGCAATGTCGATCTCAAGCCCATTTCAGCTTCTATACAAAATTACTTTTGATATATAAATCAACTTTGTATGCATTATTTACTGCCATTCCTATTGAGCTTTAATGTTCGTCAATGTAAATTACAAAACAGCCCTAAAAATAACACTTTTTTAATCTCAATTGTAGTCATACTATAACCAAGTATATTTTTTCATCTGAATATCGATTTCACAACTTTTATGCAAACGAGAATTGACGTCAAAACCTCCCTAGCAAAATACTTTCATATATATTGATTTTTTGTAGCCTTTCCCTAAAACTAAGAGGTGACCCACTTTTTTCTTTATCGGCAAGCAGCTGATGGGTTTCGATTGTTTATTTCGTATTATCATTTTTATTGTTATTAATATTATTATTATAACTATTATTATTATCATAACCATTATCATCATTATTATCATTACTTTTTTTTAAATGTTATTATCATTCTAAGTTATATTGGTATTATTATTAGAAACACTAGTAGCTGTAGTAATAGTAGTAGTCGTAGTAGTAGTAGAAGTAGTAGCAGTAGTAGTAGTAGTAGTAGTAGTAGTAGTAGTAGTAGTAGTAGTAGTAATAGTAGAAGTAGAAGTAGTAGTAGTAGTAGTAGTAGCACATGTAGTTTCTTTATTGCTTAATTTCGTTTTACCTTTGTATATTTCTTTCTTTTTTTGTGTTGATGGATGGATGAGATGTATTAATTTGCATTTTTATAAATATGTGCATTTGAAGAAGAAAAACAAAATGTTAATGATTTAGCACTGATTTAACATTTTAAGATCGAAATAATATTATGTAGTCTAAACGTCCACATAATTGCATCACAATGTTGTGCTATGTGTTCCATCGGAGAGGGGATTTTTTTTAGGGGTGGTGGTAGTTTCGTATAAGTTATGATCCATGAATTGGAACAATTTTGCTCCCTCTCTCTCTCTCTCTCTCTCTCTCTCTCTCTCTTTCGCTTTCCCTCTATCTCTATCCGTCTATCTCTCTCTCCCTCTCTGCCCCTTCCCTCATTTTCGTTCCGTCACTCTCTTAGTTTATAATTCTCTTGCACTCTCTCTTTCTCTTTCTCTCTCTCTCTCTCTCTCTCTCTCTCTCTCTCTCTTCTGTGTCTTTCTATCTACCCCCTTCTCCCCCACCCCCTCTCTCTCTCTCTCTCTCTAGCCCCCATTTTCGTTCCGTCACTCTCTCGGTTTTTATATCTGCCATGCACTTTTTCTTTCTCTCTCTTCCTTCTCTGTCTCTCTCCCTTTCTCTCATTTTCTCTCTCCCTTTCTCTTTCTACATTATTCTATATTATTATATATATTTTCTCTCCTGTTTGCATTATGTATCTTGAAGCATACCCAAAAGGATAATAGAAACGGGAAAAATGGAAACACAATGCACAATGTCAATGATTATTTTTATTGTATTTATTTATACTGAGAGGGGTAATATATGGTTGGTATTCTTCTGCACTGGTGTAAAAGCTGTAATATATCAAACTTGTGTTGTTGTTACAATATTATCATTTCTTGCTTTTTATCGTTTCATAAAGAAGCATTCAGTTGTTTTATCAAAATTGATAAAGCAACACAAAAGACCTAAACATCCTGGGAATTACTAATCATGTTCACACAAAGGAGTCGTTGTGTAAAGCATTTGACAGGCCGATGAGCTCAATTTTCTTAAATGATCTATTTGTAGACTTTAACTTTCGCTGTACGTTTAGTTTGATTCTAGGAGAATATATTTTAACCGCACAATTCAAGACAAGTTGCGAATTTTTGGCGACTCCAAAAATAAATCAGTTTTGTATTAAAATTAATCAGTTTGAAAATTCAATTACATATACAAGTTTGTATTTTGTTTGTTCTTAAATTGTTGTTACGTTAAACAAAGTGGTTACAAACTGAAATGTCCGGTAGCTTAGTTTCTTTGCAGAATTTCACTACGTCATTTTGGAGTATACAAACTCATTAAAACATTATATTCACACCAAGAATTTACTCTAATTCATTGGCGTCTAAGTTACTTGTAAATAAATATAATATTTTACAGTAATTATGGTACATTATTATATATTGTTTTTATAGCTTATCAAAGATAAATGTACAAATAAAAAGTATAGTAACAATAAGGGAAACAAATAGCAGTAATTTACGTCCAGCTAAGATTAAAATATAATGAACTGCAAACATCATTTAATAATTGTTCGTCTTTTTTATTTCTTGAATATATAAAGAACATAAATCTACTTACAATAAATACAGTCTATAACTATTTTCAGCAAATGCTCACCACACGTAATAATATATCAAGACATTTATAAACAATAATATTGCCTTCAATTAATGAATTAGTCATGAAATTTTATGCAAAGTTTATTTTTACATTATTGCACTCAAAGAAATTATCCAAGAATACGTTGTGTAGCAAAGATTTTTTATGTAGTAAAATTCACAAAATGTTCATTTTTATGATATGTATATACACACTCATGAATATTGTGATAACAGTTTGCCTTCAAAGCAGTGCACAATGTACAGCGTATACTAAATTTATATATAGGTCATTTACAGATAGAGTTATTATTTAGAGATAGACGTCTTTCGATATTGAATCGTCACCACACATTCGTAGGAATGTATTGTGTAAATTTATCTTCATTATGACTTATGTAGTATTATTAAGTGATATATTTACTAAAAATGTTTCCTAAGATTCACATTTTACTGAAAGGGTTCCTAATCTAACACAAAATACATGCTTAAGTTGTAAATAAACAACATAAATAAACAAACAAAAACTATTGTCACACGCTAAACATTTGGAATGGACGGGACAGAAGAATTGCACTTAAATTGATTATTGCATATGAGAAAGATTTGTTCTTTTTACTTTCAGATTAACCAATTGCTAGATGTATGTCATTTTTCCGAGAGTGGACTAATTGGAAAAAAATAATTTTTGCAATAATCCATTGCTAACTGGTAGAAATTCTGTTATTCAGAAATAGTCTACAGAGGAATACAAGTAGTTCTTTTTAAAATTATACTCTTCAAAACTTCTGTGAGCTGCTCTTCACTGATTTCCAATCTCAATCCTTTCTTTTCCAATGTCTATACCAAACGTCATGGGCCAATTAATAATTCCCATCTACTCTGTACAAACTGGAATGTTAACTCACCATGTTCAAAGTGTTAATCTACCATTTTGATAGAGTGGACTTTCCTCGGTCCTTTTAAAGGCCCACTGCACTACTTGTAGCTACTTGCGCCCTCTATACAACAAACAATGCCTGATCGGTGACCATTGGTCCCCCATGATCCTCTTTTTCTTATGTTAACTGAGAGCTGAGTTGATGAGATAACCACCTGCCAAGTGACCTTTGCAGGGCGGTCTAAATCCCTCCTATAAACTACGGCAGATAAGCTTTAAATAGGGATTTAACATTTCATTTTTTAGAGTGTATACAGATAGCTCATACAGATTTTACACATACCTCATCAAACATGATCATTCCTATAACGCAAACAAATTGTCTCATGAACACAATGTATTGATACGGTGATTACTTTTAGAAATTGTCAAGTAAACAGTATACTGCATTAGGCAATCTAGGCTCATGACATCTACTGACCGAATATTGGTTGGCACTCTGGTAGTTAAAGCCCCACTGTCCTAGTTGTAGCTACTTGCTCCCTCTATATAGAAAACTTCCACAATCGGTGCCTGTTGGTCTTTTTCTTATGTTAGTTGAGAGCTGAGTTAATGAGATAGCCACCTGTCAGTGACCTCGCTGTGTGGTCTGCTCTAATCCCTTCTGGCCCAGTAGTAATGACGGTCTTTAACTGTACTATGGTTGATTCTCTTCTTGTTGCTGGGCAAGTTTTTGCTTCCTGTCTTCGATTAATCGCTGCTCCTGTATCTCTGCGGGTGTTCGCCTATTGGAAAGGAATCAGCAAAATGATGAAGACGATATTTATAATGATAATGAGGAGGGGGATAATGCTATGATGATAGTGATGTTAATGGATAATGATAATTATAATGATAATGAAAATGATGTGATGATGATGATGATGATGTTAATGGATAATGATAATTATAATGATAATGAAAATGATGTGATGATGATGATGATGATGTTAATGGATAATGATAATTATAATGATAATGAAAATGATGTGATGATGATGATGATGATGATGATGATGGATAATGATGACGATAATTGTACTGATAATGATGTGATGATAGTGATGCGATGATGATGATGATGATGATGATGATGATGAAATTCATAATGATGATGAGGAGGAGGATTATGACATGATGTTAATGGATAATGATAATTATAATGATAATGATAATGATGCGATGATGATGATGATAATGATGATGAAATTCATAATGATGATGAGGAGGAGGATTATGACATGATGATTATGATGTTAATGGATAATGATAATTATAATGATGATGAAAATGATGTGATGCTGATGATGATGCTGATGACGATAATGGATAATGATGACGATTGTACTGATAATGATGTGATGATAGTGATGATGATGATGATGGTGGTGCTGCTACTACTACAACTTCTACTACTATTACTGGTGATAACGATAATAATAAAAATAATATTAATATTAATAATAATAATAATAATAATAATAATAACAATGATAATGATAATTACAACAGATACTATTCTTGTTCAAATTTAATGCTTGTTTTCATGGAAAGTATCTTTTCTTCTATTTTCTTCTAACCAGAAAATATGTAAGTCCTTGTATTACATCATATCAATTAGTAAATAGATATTGTTATATTCTTATGAATGTTCGTGTAGAGTTCTTATGAATACTATTGATTACATCATATCGATTAGTAAATAGATATTGTTATATTCTTATGAATGTTCGTGTAGAGTTCCTATGAATAATATTGTTTTGCTTTTGACTAGAAGATAATATGTGTGTATACAATATAAAAATGAATTAGCATTTGTACCTTGAAGATTAAAAAGTGAAAGGGAGGGTGTTTCTTACTTTCGACAAAGGTAGTAGCATGCAGTAAGGGTTGGTACCCCAAGTCCAAGCGCCACTATCATGACGGGATATAAGTATGTCAGAGCTGCGAAAAAAAGTTGGAAATCTAATAAGGCCTGGCTGAGACATGACGCGGTAAAATGCCTCACAATAAATGGCAAGAGACAACTTTGTTTTTATGCGGCATGTTTTTTTTAAGCGTTAGAACGCCTCATGTCTAAAGTAAAATCAAAGTACTCTTTTTTACTCTGACATAGTAATGAACAATCTTTAATAGGAATTTTCATCAGCGATTCTTAAGATAAACACACAAAAAAGACAAAAAAGGGAAAATCTGTTTGTGTGACGAAAGAAAGGAGGTTTCGTCCCTGAAATAAAGAGCGGACGGGGTTGGGGGCCAGGGGTCGGAGCAGGTATTTGACGAAGGTTTTGACCCGGTCTACAAATACCCCCAACGTCCCTCCCCACCCCCCCCCCTCTCTCTCTCTCTCTCTCTCTATTGCCCACCCCCCCCCCCCCCTTTGTCCATACATACACACACACGCACACTGACACACGCACACACACGCACATACACACACACACAATCTATCTCGCTCCTCCTCCTTCCCGTAATTTCCCTCTCTCTGAATCTCTCACCCACACACTCTCCCTCATCCCTAGAAAGGGTACTTACCGTATCTTTTTCCAGTAATAGGGTCTTCGTTGCCTGTCGATTTGCCTGAATCCTTACCTCCCTCTGGGGGCGCTGTAATAGGGATACTACTTACAGTGGCATCTACGGAGAGGTACAGAGAGTCAGCAGTTTGGTTTGGTTTTATTTTCCGTGTTTAAAAAGATCCACATAATTACACAGTACAATAATTTATACTTGTAGAGCACTCCTACATACTAATCATTATTTCATAAAGCATCCCATCAATACAACAAATTAAAGGAATAATATTGTTTATTACTGATTTTGGCCCGGACTATAAATACCCCCTGGCCCTCTCCCTGACTTGATTTCGAATTGCCCGTTTAGTTTACGACATACCCATTCGCAAGTATTATTATTGTTAATATTGGTCGCTTATTCTTAATATCTGGCAACCTGTTCCGAATATTGACCCCCGTCTTCCCATGTATTCGACCCCTCAAAGTTACTAGACCATCTAACTCATTGCATTGATTTCAAGGTTGTCAGCTTGACCGTCGCTGTCTTGTTTTATTGCTTCCAGAGACACACAAAGTCGGGTCGATTTCACACCATCTAACCCTTGCACCAAACTTGTTAGTATGAAGTAGTATGACTGGACATTACAGAAACACAACAAAAACTGACAAAAAAATATGTTGGGATGGGGTTACAGACGGCCCGAAAAGTTGTGGTCAATTTTTCCACTTAGCCCCACAAAGTTAAAACATCGAAGTACCTTGGTCTTCAACCAAGTTTTTCTCTGCCCCAAAATTGTCTCAATAAAAATAAAAATTAATTTCTCTAACATTTTGACCTAAATCACTCAAAAGTTTTTAATTCAATTTAGTTAAAAGTGCAATCTTGAGAATTATGATTTCCGTACGCTGCAATTTGGTGTCAAATTTTTAGTTTACTAATAAGTTTAAATTTTAAGGATTTCATTGCTTTCTCCAAAGTAGCAAAAAATATTGTGAGGATTAAGTAAAGACACACATCGCCCATCTAAACTTGTTTTAAATTGCATTTCGCTGTAATATTCTTTGCCGCATCTGCCCATAATGTGGTACACAGCTTTCCCTTTTGTTTAGTGTCATCATCTATGATGAAATTATTATAAACTGTTTGGTGTTGTTATAGTTTGTGGTTTCGAATTGATTCTTTCTATTTTGAAATTCAAGCTACAGTTTGTAGAAAATTCCGGATGACTCAAGACCCAAATCAAGACCCAATATACTCACCGTCTATAGTCTCTACGGTGCTGGGAGCAATGCTAGCACCACTGAGGGTAACCGTAGTGGTCTTTGAAGCATCTTCATCTGCAGGGGAACGGCTTTCGTCCGGTTTTGACTTGGTGGACGGGAGTGTAGTTGCTGGGGCATCGGGTGTAGTGCTTACATCAACATCATTCCGCGCAGTTCTGGTGCTAGTGTCTTGGACCTGTTCGACAGTGGTGCTGCTCTTGGTGTCAGGTGCAATTGTGGCAATGGTGGGTGTAGTGCTAGTGCTAGTATCTTGTGCCCGTCTGGTGCTGGGCACGATATCAGGTGCAGTGCTGACATCAGGTGTAGTGCTAGTGCTAGTATTTTGTGCCCGTCTGGTGCTGTGCCCGATGTCAGGTCTAGTGTCGGGCGGGGGTGAGGATCTTGGGCTGACAGATGAAGTGGTGCGTTCGGGAGATGACCCAATACCACCAACTGGGTCTCTTGTGACTTCTTGAATACTCGAGCTCCTCGTCGTAGTCGGAGTATGGATGTCACTCCTGCTCGTCGACGTCGAGTCCTCGACTCCACCCGAGATGGTGTCTGGTTGCCGGGGAAAAGGTGGTTCTTTGCTATTGTTACCACTGGTTGTGGTGTGACTGGTGTCTATTTTACCAATACCAGACATGCTGGTGCTGTAAAGAACGGTTGCACCTAACAGGTGTAGAAGGTGAAAAATGGACAATACTTGTAAGCGAAGATGATGCTAACATGATGAATTATAACATGTTTTCCTTTTTGAGTTCATATATATATATATATATGTGGCATAACGTGAGTCGGTGAAGGAAGGCACTTTAGCAAGGATTGTTAGGGCTTTAGGGATTATTGGTATCATTAGTAATATCATTATCATTATTATTATTATTATTATAAGTATTACGTTTGATATTGTTGTTATCATTATTATTATTATCATCATTATAATTGTTATTATAATTATCATTATTATAATCATCATTATTATTATTATAATTTGTATTATTGTTATCATTATTAGTATCATCATTATTATGTAGACTGGCTCGTTTACACTCGTTCGGCTTGTGGGTATTCTCCTAGACTTGAACAAAACAAACAAAAAACACAATCGCAAGGACTCTATATCGACTCCGGGGCAATTTTAATATCTTACTGTATTACCTTTAAAAATCCTTTCCTGATTATGAAACATATTATTGCAATTCTCTCACATTTTAGAAGATGCCGCAAAAATTACTTGAACTAGTTGAGGTTCATTTTTCGAAAATCTTATTAAAGGTAGGCCTATACTTACTGGTAACAGGGCAGGCATAGCGGACTTGCAGATCAGGACATTCCTGACGGCCTGACTGAATATGTCTATCCCCATCAACAGAGCATCGAATACCGTTGCCATCGCACGGGTAGTTGACGTCCGGCACAAATGAAGGCAATATTTCATACCACAGCTGCTGGTCAGAATCTTGCGCCGTTCTGCAGTCGGCGTAGATCGGGTTTTGGCACAGCGAATTTGTTTCATCCTTCTCAGCCTGAATATAAATAATTTCGCCAAATAAAGTTTTTCTCCCGTCTATTTTAAGATTTGTTTTCATTCCTCACTCTTTCTTTTATATAGATACTTTGTCTTTTCATTTTTACCTTAAACCTGAATTTAAGCTTTACATTATCAAACAACCGGCAATATGATTTATAATGCAGGTGATACTTGTTTGAAATCATACTCGGCATATATCCATTACAAGACTTGCAAATGTGTGTACTTTGGAGCAACAATATATTCCCCATAGTCGGCCTTTAATATCTATCTATATACAGTTTTTTCTTATTTTACCTTTTCACGGGTCCCCACAACTTCTGCCATAATATTATTTGAATTGCGACTCTATGTGTAACTGTTTTCATTTATTATCTTAGTACTCCTTCTTCTTCTCCTTCTTCTCCTCCTCATCCCCCATCTTATTATTATTCCTCCTCCTTCTTCTTCTTTTCCTTCTTCATAGTATCCATTTTCTTCTTCTCCCTCCTGTTCTTATCGTTGTTGTTGTTCTTCTGCTTCTGTTTCTGTTATTTCCTTATTGATTTTGATCATGTTTTCGTTCCTTTTCTGAGGTATAAAGAAGAACTAGAGATTGAAGTAAAACTTGAATATAATCACCATAGCGAGATGATTTTCCTTTGTCTCTATTTCGTCCCCGTCATCAGAAGTGTCGGCATCGAAGAATCCTGTCCAGTAATAAGCGTCCGTGTCATCAACTTAGGGTGGCCGACAAAGATAAAGACAAAAGAAAATTGCATAAAACATAGTATTTTCTCACACAGTGGCTTAGTATAGATAATATCGACTGCTATGAGAGGCCTGGGCCCCGTCTTCCAAAGAGTTGATATGAATCGTAACTTATTTGCGATTGATATTAATCGTAACTATGTACATAAGAGATAGGAGACTGCAAACTTGCGATTGATTGGAGGACTTACGATTGATTTGGATCGATCGTAACTCTTTGTAAGACGGGGCCCTGGTTTTTATTATAAGCTCACGGGGACGTTGCATCCTGCCATGACCCCGAGGCGCGCCCAGGGGTCATGACAGGATGCCAGGCCTCGAATATTAAAGCAGTCGATATATCGTTTATATACCGAATTGACACGAAAATTTACCAAGAATTCTTACCTTATCCTTTTATTGAGTAAAGATTGGTTAAAACATCACAGAAAATCTGAGACACTGTCTGTTAATCTTCGCTGGAAAGATGACTGAATGTTACTATCATTTGGGAATTGCAGACAAAAAGCACTGTATGGTATCCGCGCTCGCACAAAATAAGTTTTAACACGTAAACCAATGGGGATCTCATCATTATTTAACTATTTTCCCGCTGCCCGGAATCTTTGGGGAATCTCACTCATGAACTATTTACTGTTACTGGCACTGTTCGTTTCTTAACGGGAATGGCTTAGATCACGACTCCAATTTCAACCATCAGATGGCTAGATCTCTAAAGAGATGTATATAATAATCAATATCAAAAGTATATTTTCACAACCAATAGTCACCATACCATGCAGAGAACATGATGGATCATAAATTATTAGAAGGGGTTGATCCAGGATTTTGTAACACGGGGGAAGATTTGTTAACCCATTGATAACTACAACCTGTAATTCCCATAGGCTTTAACACAGTCGCCATCAGGTTTCCAGAGTCATTGGATTCAAAACTGCCAAGTCCCAGTGGAAAAATATATCATAATGATGATGAAGATGAAGTTAACAAAACGGTTTCCGTATACTCAACAAAAGGCGGGGGCTCAAGTCTCTAACATAACCATGGTAATCGCAATCTATAGACAAAGGAGGGTGCACAGGTGTAAAACATAATCCTAAACGAATATCGAAACAAAAGGGCTCTCATATCTTTCAGAAGCTTCATTTTGTTCATCAAAAATCGCTGACCCTACCCCGAATATTCTAGTATATTTTTTGAGGTAAATTTGTTGGTCTTAAACAGGGAGTTGGGACAAACCAGTTGTGCCTATATACACAATCATACACTGTTGGTCATAATGATGGAATATTTATTTTTACCCCAGTTTAGGGAAGGATTTGAAAAAATTATTTATTTCTAATAGATCTAGATAATGGCATACATTCTCAGATTTTATTGAATATTAATTTGCGAGTGTTTGTTTTGCGTGACTGCTTAATCATATGTGTTCTTCTATGCTAATCAGATAAGGGACCTACGTCCTTAAGTCATAATTGACAGTAATGAGGATTAGTGCCTCACAAAAGGGCACTAATATATAGCTGATCGACACGATTTTTATCCTGGGGCCTCACAGTAACGAGGCCATTGCTTAGCCCCTGAATCATGACTGTACGCAGTGTTTGCTAGGGTACGCGGCCCCTTCCACAAATCCCCCAAAACGAAGAAAATGCAATAAATTGTCAAAAATTCATTGCATTCCCCCCCGGCCCCCAACAGAAAATAATATTCGGTAGGGCCGTGCATTATGGTTCAAGGCATGGCCACATAGAGGAATTTTTCCTGTTGGGGGCCGGGGGGAAATGCAATGAATTTTTGACAATTTATTGCATTTTCTTCGTTTGGGGGGATTTGTGGAAGGGGCCGCGTACCCTAGCAAACACTGCGTAAAGTCATGATTCAGGGGCTAAGCAATGGCCATGTTACTGTGAGGCCCCAGGATAAAAAATTGTGTCGATCAGCTATATTAGTGCCCTTTTGTGAGGCATTAATCCTCATTACTGTCAATTATGATTTAAGGACGTAGGTTCCCTAGCTGATTAGCATAGTAGCACACATATGATTTAGCAGTCACGCAAAAACAAACACTCGCAAATTAATATTCAATAAAATCTGAGAATGTATGCCATTATCTAGATCTATTAGAAATAAATAATTTTTTCAAATCCTTCCCTAAACTGGGGTGAAAATAAATATTCCATCATTATGACCAACAGTGTACAAAGAATAAAATTAAAAGAAGAAAAAAACACAAGATATTCAAGCTCCTTCCTTAACAGAATATTATCATATGTGCATAATATATCCTTCGCTGTTAACTTACGATCTGTTGATTCATATGTTTCTATAATCGGGTATCCGTAGGCGCTGAGTTGACTGTCGGAGACCACTTCACAAGTGAACCGGGAAGGGAGATATCCGGCGGTTTGATCATGTTTGCCAAATATGTATAACACGGCTGGAAAACGACACGAAATTGAGTGGAAAAAAAGTATAAGTAGAAGACAGTGATACATCGACTCGGGTTTTCATAGTGATAAACAACAGACAATTATTAAATCAGCTCAACTTTCCCTCATTTTGTTTATTCTTTGCTTCTTACTGAAATCTGAAATGCCTCAAAACTAAGTACATCAAATGGTCAATATGTAAATGATATGACAATGATGGTAAATAATGGAACCAGTCACGCAATACCTGTCGTGCGATATTCATTCTGTTCTTGGAGATATGACGTCATGAAGAACTCGTTCGATGTGAGTTCTTCAAAATGTCCGTACTCCTCGTACATGAAACGGACGTTGAGGTCGGATCCATTTTGGGCGCGAATCAGGCAAGTTAGCTTGATGTGGTTTACCTCCTCTTGTTCCTCGTAGTCCATGAAGCTCTTCTGACTGATTGCCATTCTCAGGACCTTTGGCGGGCCGTCTAGGGATTTAAAGATAAAGTTGAGTTTTGGTCATGTGATTGCATTGTGAAAGAAACAGTGTGGAATCTATCAGAAAAGGTTGATCATCTAGTATATAAGTATTCGTGTGTATTGCAAGGTTCTGGAATCATCAAAATGATAAGAAATTTGGCCAAATCTTGGCAAAGTTACAAGCACTGTACACAGAATGATATATATGGGACTAAACGAGCACATGGCGAAAAAAACCTACCCCGGATTTTTACGATGTTTCATGTCATATTTAGAATATGAAGGCATTTTAAATTAAAGAGCCATGCTTTTCAGGGAACATGTTTAATCTGATGTTCTTCCACCCTTGCGTTATAACAATGATAACGCTCACAAATTATTTTTTACCTCTTCCCAGAACTCAACCTTCTCTTTAAATACGTGTATCATAAGTTTAAAAATAACGTAATCTGCGGTATACTGCAACACCAAGTCCAACACCGAATCCCTAGAGGCTGGTGTTGTTGAATGGGAAATTATTAAACATTAAGTACAAGTAAAACTAATTGATAATCACATGACATCAAATGCGATTTGGCCTCAGTGCTCAATGGAGTCACTAACCAATGCAGAACTGGCTGCTGTTTATTATGATGACGGTTTGTTTCGGCTAGGACAAGAAAAACGCCAACGCCTACGATGGGCTGAAATGGTACCGACACCAAACAGCCAGGGGAACCGTATTCTCCGTAACAGAGGTGTTAAGAAGGAAAGGTAAGAACCCTTTACAAAAAAGTTTAAGGTAATATAAAGTTTTGGTATGGGGTCATGCATTTGGTGGAAATTAACATACATTTGGAAGCATATGCGATCCTACAATATTCAGTAATCGTTGTCGCGGTTGAAATCGAGTCTAAAGTTATGAAATTGTAAATAATAAACTCTTTATGTTGTAAAACTCCCCCTCAAGGCCAAAATGTAAATTAAGCTACAAAACAATGTTTCTTGACTAAAATCAACCAATTAGTTATTCCCGTTTAGAAATTATATATCACAAAAAATTCACAACTACATAATATTCTGAGATTTTTATGGTCACAGCTACCATTCTACGGCCGTAGGCGCTATTTGAAACTTAACAAAAAATTTACCGGGAGCACCGGTAATTTTTTATATTCAATTGTTCTCGAAAGCAGAAGTGTTTTAGGGGCTTAATTTTCTAGTGATTAAAATACATCCACAGGGGCATCCAAATGTATCAACATTGTAATGAATCACTATCCACCCAATTTTCAAAATTTCCCAAAACTTAGTATTATGTGATTTCGTTCTGCCTGCTTTTATAAGAATTGGATCTTTGCATTTGTGATTTAAATTTACCTTCACGTTCATTTTGGAATATTCGGCGAATGAGGTCCGCTGACAATGCTGAGTAAAACACTTTCAGTTCCGTCATCATTATTGGACGAATTTCTGACGACGTCACAACATCATCTCTTGAGAAAACCCAGAAGGACGTATTGTCTTTCTCGAATTCGTCCAGGATGTCTGCGAATGGTTGCGAAGTTGTCGTCGGGATTCCTTGGCCCTTCACCTCACTGTTGAAGTACACCGTCAGGTTGGTGAGCGGGTCAAAGGTTATGGTCACATGAACCCATTCCTTGTCTATCAGCGTCTGGTTGACTGTCCACGTGGTGCCCAAGTGCAAGTACGTCACAATCAGATGCCCGTTTTGTACCGTGGCGACCAGCGATGGGGATCGAAACGCGTGGCGGGGAGAGGACTGAGGCCGAGATTCATTGCCATACATCTCGTTCTTCTGAAGCCAGAACATGACCGAGATGCCGTGGGCCGAATCGCAGCAGTCGGGGTTCGTTAAGCAGTTCTGCACAAATGGTTTGAAGGCCAGGCTGGTTCGAACCGCGCATAGGTCGTAGTGAGAATTCGGACCAAACGTCTGACGAAGCCGCTCATTGCTACAATGAAAAGGGAGAATACATAATAATATTGCGGAGAAGAAAGAAAGAAAATCACATTATTGGCTAACGTCAATAGTACTCGAAATACATAATTAATACTTCAAGCTTATTAGGCCTATACTTGTTTTGTTTTTCTTGGAAAAGTTCCTTAAATCTACAAGGTAAAAATCGTTCCAGTTTAGTTCGCTTTCACTTCAGAGCAGAAGGCTGCGATCGCGTTCTGAAATAAAATACTTGACATTCTTAGCCTTCGGCTAGTCATATACCTGACAGAAACATCAGTCGATGTTCATATCGAGTGATTTTGTTTTAATAATCCTTAATTTGGAAAACAGTCTTGGAAAACAATTGCGTGTCACATGGGCCTCATAGGGTAATTTTTATTTAAATTTTGGTCACCCTCCCCCGAAGAAAAGTGAATAAATAAATGGATACTGAAAATCCTTCATGACCATGGAATAATAATGGCTCTCTGGCAAGAGGTCTAAGTTTATTATAGAATTACGATTATATAAAAGCTTTTAACTAAATGGATAAATCCCCTTTCTAAAATGGAATCGCCCTTAATCACAATGTATCTTTATTAGATGTGAAATATTGATAATAATAATGTTAATAATAATTTAATGATAATATTAACAATAACTAAACTAACAAAAATAAAAATCGAAATGGAATTCGTCACGGAGACGAATTAGGTGATCTGCCGTTTTGATCGAGGCATAACACATGTAGGAACTTACTGGGTGATTCGGTCTTTAAAAAATATTCCACCCTCCATTCACATAACACGTAAAAGTAAAAACCATAACGGCGCAAACGTCCACGCGCATAAAGTTTATAAGGTCTAAAAACGTGTGGTAAATTAACTCAATCAGCATTTTGATGATTGTTATAGTTTGACTCACACGAACGCGTCCGCTATAACGCGCGCACGGATATGGGTATGACCAAAAGTTAACCCATGACGTCAAGTTTAGGCATATCAAATATCAGAAATGACAATGAATGATGGGAAAATGGTCAATGATAGAAAGTAACAAAATGGCGCCTAGATGACGTCACGCATCAGTAACAACCAACAAATTCTTCGTTGGGATCAATAATATGGCAAAGGTCATGGGAATGTCATTGTCATTAACCATGTCTTTCACGAGACATCCACAGTCCAGCGACAGATCCACCTGACCACAACCCCTCCCTCCCTTCCCTCTCCTTCTCCTCCCTCTCCCCTCTCCCCCTCCCCTCCAATACACACAGATAATCACTTAGTTGAGTGGGAAAGGAAAAAAGGTAGGAAGAAATGCGAGTGGAAAAACATAGTGAGGGGTTGATCAAGGCGAAAATGTATGACATTCATAATCCTATGTTCCAAAAGTATTCTCTTTATTATGAAACTACCAATACTACATGTCTTTAATGCCCATCTGCACTAGTTTGGCCAGGAGGTTTTAGACCTCCCTGCATGGTCACTGTCAGGTGGTTATCTCATCAAATCAGCTTTCTATTAACATAATAGGGGTACATGGGGGGGGGGGGACCAACGGTCACAGATTAGGCATTGTTTGCTATATATAGAGCGCAAGTAGCTATAAGTAGTGCAGTGGGGTTTTAATAAGAGCAGGTGGAGAATTTTTAATCTGGTAATCTCACCCTAGAACCACCTCGCCCACCATCGTTCCAGCTATCGGATCGACTCGTACAACTTTGTCATTGCAGGTCCAGGACTCGTTGGCTCCCATTGTGGCACCGCTGTCCAGCTCGCTCAGTGACCAGTGTAAGTCCGGCTCTGGGAGTGTTTCTATGGTAACATTGAGGTAAACATGACCAAATATCCTAGTCAAGACTTGTTATTTCTTTATTTGGGAATGTGTTTTTCTTTTGAAAGACACCATAAATACGATGGCGAAGATTTCTAAAAAAAAGTCTCCCTAAAGCACTTTCATTTCAATAGCCTTGTCCATCGTCTTTTGAAATGTGCGAAGATCATAATGAGAAATACGAAATCTGAACATGATTTTTATTGGATCCTGAGCTTTGTTTTTATTTCTCAAAAGTATACTTTTGATCATGTTCATAGATTTTCCCCGAGATTCAGCCTCTCCTTGCAATGAATACTGCTGGAGTCGGTGGTATCACATTGTAAACTGAATTGCTATCTTTCAACCAAAGATTTTCATCATGTCCAGCATAAACGGGCAAGTTCAATGCATTCGTTCACTCTGTGTTCTGTACGTTTCCAAAGTTTTAGAGAATTGTGGACAAAAATCTACATCCAGACTTCATAAGTTTTTCGTCTGTCTCAAGCTCCAGTAGGGCTTTCGTCTTTAGCTAATAATGTCTGTTTTGCTTCAATATTGTCTAACAGGTAAAACAAAACGGTTTTGAGTGACTTCATATTATAATAGGCCAAAATATGATGCCACCCCATCCCTCTGTCCAAATCAAGGACCCCCCAATGCTGGTCGCTATACCGATCTTTTAAGGAAATCTTAAACAAGTCAAATGTGGAGATATAAATTAGGGGTGCCTTCGCCCACGTTTTAAAGGCCTAAATTGTGGGGAAAAGTATTCTAGATATTGATATTGACTGAAACACGTTGTGTATATCCGGACAGGTTGCCGGGTATGCGGACATTGATTTTAAACATTAATTGAAGGACGTTTACATTTCATTTATATCTCAAGACATTTGTTAGAAGACACTAACTGACAATATAGTTAGCGTAAATTTATGCAAATTTTCCTTAAATTCAAGGCAAAAAGTGCCAGCTTTATTTTTGCTAATAAGTGTCTGGACACACAACCCCCGTCATAAGGAAACAGGATTATACTGTACCGTTTGTGTTAGTGCATAGTAGTCTCACTTCAGCGTTCTCGCAGGATTGCAACGGGGTCTCACAATCCAACACACCATCATTGCAAATCACATAGGGGACAATGCCTGTATCGTCAAAACTACGATGGGTATATTTCTCTCTACATTGGGTTTCTTCGATGTTAGAGCACAGCTGAAAGAAGGAAAACAAATTTCTTTATAAATATGCCTCGATTTACTTTTATCTTTTAACATTCTTACGAAAAATGCCGTATTGCCCTAATACTGCCGTATTTACACTATGCAATTCTTGCTTGGGGTAATTCAAACACTACCACATATATCAATAGAATACTTCTTTTACAGAAACGTGTACTCAGAGTGCTAAGTAATGCTGACTATTGCTCACATACTGACCCTTTATTTTCGAAAGACAAACTTTTAAAAGTTAAAGATAAACTTGAGCTCTGGTAAAAAAAAAATTATAACTCTTACAGAATCAAACGAAACTTACACTGAATGTTCAAGATTACAAATAAATGTCATTTGCCGAACAATTTTGGTCGAAAATGTATAATGGCTGAGTAGTGAGCATAGAAACATTGATAAATCAAGGTGTCGGGCCCCGACACCATTTGTGTAGTCCCATATACATCCAAGTTCTGTGTACAGTATTTGTTACTATACCAAGACTGGGCCAGAATTATTATGATGTTGATGACTCCAGAACCTTGCAGTACACACCAATACTTACATGCTACATGATCAACTTTTTTTCTGATCCAATCAACACCTTTTCTTTCACAATGCAATTGCATGACTAGAACTCAACTTTATCTTTAAAGATCTATACCTTCCAAATCTCGGCATATTCATGTTTCAGTTGTCTCGCCAAGAACTCCCATCAGCCTTAATTGAACTCTTTACAAAAAATGACGCTATACAAAACATACCAAACACGACATGCAACACGTGCAAAATATCATCTTCCTCCATACTTCTACCTTATCATGAATGACACTGTGTCAACATTATTTTGGCTATAAGCTTTTTATTAAGTTCCTTTTTTCACATGTACTTTCGAAATTATTTAGTGTAAATGCCATACAAAATTATGCTGTGTAGATGTCTATATTGTTCACGAATATAAATTTTGTAAATATGTTATGTCTTGTTAATGTTTGTTTTTTCTTCATATGAAATAAAAGAAACTAAAGTACACTAAAGTAAACTGAGCCATGCTGCTCGCATGGCTCAGAAGCCCCGCAAACACAGCACAAAAACAGAGAAATTTAAAGTGACAATCCATTCATATTTGAGCAGCAAGATAGTTTTGATATTTGGAATAATAATTGATGATAGCAATATAATTAAAATAATAAAGCCAGCGTCAAAAAGTGCACACCATACCCCTTCTATTCATTCGAATTTACATTCACTGCTTTAACTATTGTTTAGTGTGTTAATGCCATGAATTTATCTAATCCCAACCCAACCCTAAACTTAACGCCTGAACCCACCTATAGTAAAAAAAAAAAATATATGTATACTTAAAAAAAAATAATAATGCCATAGGCTTAAGAAAACCTAACCCTATAGCTCTTATCCTCATGCGACATGAGACATTTTAATTTATTAAGGATTTTAATTATAGGCAATATGAAATTGATGGGCACATGCACATTACAAATAATTATTTATATTCATGTGCATCGTTTTCTATTGTTAAATATTATATTATATTTTCTATCATTTGTATTTTCACTGTCAAAAAAGCAAAATTTCAATGTAATGTTTGCATGCATGGACCAATAAAATAATCTTGAATCTTGAATCTTGAGTCAATTT